AAAATACTATTTCTTTTGTTTATCATTTTTACAGTGCAAATATTTGTAATAAAATACACACTTTGATTTCAATTACAACACAGAATACTATATGAAAATGTAGAAAAACATCCAAAATATTTAATAAATTTAAATTGGTATTCTGTTGTTTAACAGTGCAATTAAAACTGCAATTAATCACAATTAATTTTTAATTGCGATTAATTTTTTTTTAGTTAACTGTGTGAGTTAACTGCGATTAATCGACAGCCCTAATCCTTAGTTTTCCAAAGTGATGACCTTTCACTGTTTTATATCTCCTGATTCCCCCAAGGGCTGGGAATAGAAACATAGGTTGAAACTATCTGCAGTAGTGTAAACCTTTAACTGTGTACCCCTCTGTGTTTGCCAAGGAAAAGTGCAACCTGTGTTCGTATCGATCACGCTGCCCTCCTGGAACTAAAGAATTTGTAAGTATTTTATAATTAACCTTAAGTGCACATAGTTTGTATCATTGTCAATTCTAATACAGAGAGAAATTAATGGGCCAAGTTTATCCCATGTGGAAACCCGTTAATTTCAATGGAGTTACCTCAGTGAATTTGGTCTATTACATTTATTTAAATTATTCAGACCCAACAGCCCTTGAGTCCAGCTGAGCCATTCTTGCCTCGGGCCCCAGGAGGGTGGGAACAAGGTAATTTAAAGATAACTTTATGCTCTCCCAATCCCTGAGCCAGTTCAGGCCCTGGCATACTTTAGAGCCTTCTCAAGACTGCTCTAAACAGTGCTGGCTAAAAGGCAAAGTGCTCTGGCCAGGGTCCCTCCCAATCCCTACATTGGGTGGGAGACTAGGAATAGAATAGAGCCCACTATACTGGCTCTGTGCCAGCTGGGGAAATCTTCTATGCAAAAGAAAGCCTTATAGGGCAGCTTTTGGGCCCATTGCATCATGAGAGTGGAGTAAAGGGGCACATGATCTGGCGCTAGGTGAGGGACTAATGTTATAGTGTGTTTTGAACGTTTTAATGAGAATTCTTTTTCTTTTTCATTTCCCAGTTATCTGTTTCATACACATTTCATTTTCTGGCCAGTGAGGATAGGTCAGTGGCAAGATAATATCCTCAGGAAGCCAAATAGTCACTAGGAGTTATATCATCCTGGGATTTTAGTTATGGGCAGACTGCTCTTTAGGATTAAGATTTAAGTTAAATCTTTAGGATTTAAGGAATCTAGATCAAGTATGAGTAGATTTTGCTGTATACCTTTTCTTATTATTATTATTTATTATTAAGGCCAAATAATTATGTCAGTAATGTGATTACAAAAGTCTACACAATTACTGTAAACTTCCCTCCACTTTATTCAGATAATTGGTTAGCAAAGCCATACTAAAATAGTGATGGACAAACCTCAAGAATTTTGGCATTTCAGTTCTAAAAAATACCCAGATGACTGGATGTTTATCTGAATTTGGGACTACAAAATTAGGCTGGCTGTCTTATGAGAACGGGCTTTCCCAAGATTTATAGCATTTCCTGCTTCTGTTCAGGCCTAGAATAACGTAAAGACAGCCATTTTCACAGTATTTTGGCACATCCTTCTTCAGAAACAACTAGGAAGTTCAGAAAAGTGCCAGAAAAGAAAAATAAAGACCTAAAGAAATTCTATTTTTCAAATTTCAAAAAAGCTTCAGTTCAAATTTTGGACAAAGGTGACTAGTTTTAAATTGAGGTGGTTTGCACAGTGGCACTTGGCTAAGTTGCCTGTAAATTATTTAGCTAATTATCTGTTTGCCTACTTTATTTTTACATTAGAGAATATTTTCTTAGGATATGTTATGAACATATTTACCAACACAGGCTGATTATTTACAGATGTACAGAGTATATTGTTTACACAAAGTTGACACCGTTTTTAAATGTCTAAAAATAGTTGTGTGATATCAAACACTGAAGCAGTTGTCTTGCCAACTTTTGTACAGGTAGGAGAGAAGAAATATTGCATCTATACTGAAAACTTTATGGGAAGGACATCCATTCATATTGGATGCCTGCCAAAGTGCATTAAAAATATCATTGTAAGTATTATTATTCATTATTGTTATTTATTATGTGTTTTGTGGTGGCCCTTAGGAGCCCCACTCGTGGTCCAGGACCGCGTTGTGCCAGGTGCAGTACAAACACAGTACAAAAAGGCAGTTCCAGCCCCATGATTTAAGGACTTTCTGAATAGGCCTCTTTATCAGAATAGCTTCCAGTTACGGTGAGTGATCAGAAGTTTAATAGGGTGGGTTGAAACATTTTCATTGAAAGTTTTCTGTTGAAAAATGCTGTTTAGATTAAAACAAATTTTTTCACAAAAATAATAGAGATTTTAATTTAAAAATTGGAAAAAAAACTGTTGTGAAAATGGCAAGCCATCCAATTGTGACATTTCCAGAACAGAAAGTAGTTCAGCAGCGGGGGGACTGTGCAAGGATAGGGAAGGGGAACAGAGGTTAGAGAACAGTAACTCTTTGAAACTTCTTGCAATAGCAATCCCTACACTCTGCACTGTGGGGAGCACAGGAACTAGTTGGATTTGCTCCCCACTAGGAGTCTGAAAAGGAAGCAGTCAGAGGTGGAGCCATGGCCCAGCCTTCTCCACATTAGGCCATAGAGCCGGGCTGATCCACTGCACGGGGAAGTCATCTGCTCTACGGCTCACCTGCCCATGTATAAGAACCAGCCCCAGGACAGATTGTGTTTCTCTAGTGAGATCTCTGGCACTTCTGCTGGAGCACTGTGATTCTGCACTGTCCCCTACACAGGGAAGTGGCTTAAAAGCCCCAATTCTAATCTTTGTTATGTTGTTTCTCCATTTCAGACCAGAGAATGCTGTGCAGGTTTCTTTGGTCAACAATGCCAGCCCTGTCCGGGGAAAAGTGGAAATGCCTGCTTTGGAAATGGCATCTGCTTGGATGGTGTTAATGGCACAGGCGTGTGTGAGTGTGAAGAGGGGTTTAATGGAACGGCCTGTGAGAAATGTATTGAAGGCAAATATAGTCGCAACTGCAATCAAGGTAATTAGTGACTCCAGACTATGCAGATATCGTGTCAAATCTTGACAGGTGGAAAGCTGACCAGCCAAAAATCTCTGAAATTATTTCAGAATTCAGTGGCCATATGACTCAGCTCTCTCAGCCCCCTGCCTCAATATCCTCTCAACGCTCTAGGCCTTAATTATCTTCCCACTTACACTGGTGTAAATCAGGAATAACTCCACTGAAGTCACTGGAGCTACACCTGTGTAAAAATGGCATAAGAGGGAGGGAAACCAGCCTTTCTTTACATGCATACACATTATATAAAATGTAGTGAGAGGGGATATTTGCAGGCTCTTGGGGAAGACTATACCCAGTATTGCCAACACTAAGTGTTCAAAAATTGAGTCACAGACAAAAAAAAATAATGACTGGCTCTAGAAAATTGAGGGACGTATTTGTTTGTTTGTTCTTGAGCCCTTAGGTTACACACAAGTCATATTTTTGAGTTTTTCTCTGCCACCATGCGGGTTGGAAACTTACTTATTTTTAAATGAAAGCTGAGAGTCTCTCATGATTCTGTTATTAACAGTATCTGGGGCTTTATGAAAAACAGCATATTTAT